CACCCGACTCGCCTTTGCTGATCCCACTTATAGAGATAATCACCATCATGTTTACTTCTAATCTTATTGGAATCGCTTTCGCACGCTCGCTTCACTATCAGTTTTACTCTTGGTATGCCCAGCAGCTACCGCTGCTTGTCTGGAGGACACGCTATCCAGTCCCTTTCAAGTATGTTTTCTTCTCGATCTGTTTTCTCTTACTCATTCTATCTCCAGAGTTGCATTGTTATTGGCTATCGAATATTCCTGGAACGTCTTCCCATCGACGAATAGATCATCGTACACTCTCAACTTCGCTCATTTTATCTTATTGGTCGGTTTATGGTCTGGATACCCCAACGGCTTTCAAAAGAGAAAGGTTGCATTCAATGAACGGGTTCACGAGGTGGAGGACGACACCATTTATTCCTCTTCTTCAACAGAAACCGATTCAACAATATAGAATGGACACAATTATCATATACCAAAAACCATTATAGCACTATCGTATACGAGCATAAAGAATACAGTCCATCTTTTTCAGTTTCCGACGTTCACTATCTTCCCGGACCAAGTCTCCCATTCCGACACCACCCTCTGTCCAATAAAGTGGCCGGTATCTTTACGGCTGATCGTATACGAAGCAAACTCGTCCGTCGAGGCCTTGTACTTTTGCTTGGCCTCTCCATCGGTGAGGAGAGCCGGCCGGACGATCACGATCTGGGGTAGCCATCCTGCAGGCGGGTAATGTTGCTCCCATCCTTTCGGGAGGATCTCCTCAGCAGGCTCTACCCCTTCCTTCCACTCCATCCCCGCCGCATACTGGAGTAGACGCTCCATGCCGAGCTTGTCGACGTGCGGCTGGTTGAGGGCGTAGCTGTAAAAGATCTTGAAGCTGAATGGAAGAGCATCGTGCGAGGCCTTGGTGGCGCCGGTAGTTGTGATGGCGACCAACTTGGGCATCTGGTGGTGACCGTGGTCGGCTGCGATGGTTTGGAGGAGGTTGGAGAGGGCATGAGTTGTGATGTTTGGTGGCTGGATCTCGAACCCTTTTAGCAAGTGGAATGTAGGTGTCCCTCCTGAATAGATTGTGTGAGATAAAGGATAACCATGTGAGAGAGAAGAGTACATACCGACACTGAAGAGGACGAGGTCGACCCTGTTGTCCTGGTTTGCGGCTTGCCATGCAGCTTGAATCTGCTCCTTGTTGAGAGCATCACCCTTGACGACGATGACTTGTCCTTTCTGGACATACTTTTGTATCGTCTCGTCGGTGTCGAAGGCTTTGGGGGAGCGAAGGAGATAGACGACGGTATGACCGGCTTCTAGCAAATCTAGAATGGCGAATGTATGAGTACATGTCTTTTGACGGGAGCAAAGGACTTACGAAGAGTGGCCCAGTAGCCAATGTTCTTGGAGGC